GCATCTAAGATGTTTATTTTCATTACATTTTTTTTTTCTTTTAAGATAATTTTAATTCTATTTTATTCATTTATTTTCATTCTATTATTTATATTTTCTTCCTTCGCTATGATATTTTATTTTGTTCTTTTATAGCTTTATATTATTTGAAATTAGCTTATTTATTTATTTATTTTTTTTTTTAATTTGTAAATATGGTGTGAATGTACTCTCAGAACTCTATTATAAATGTCCTTTATTGAGACAGATTGTAATATTTATCAATAAACAAATAACCCATTCTAATAAAAAAGATATCCTGTTAATATTTGTTCTGATTATGGCTGAGTTGGTTTCATAAACTAGATTTCCTGCCCTAATAGAATCTAAAAATACTTTTAGCTGAGAACACAAATTATATTTCGATAGAACAAGATTAGCTGAGTGACATCTATTTCTAAGCTTATCGAAACATATTTTTGGATATCTACATTCCTCCATTTCCACAAGTTTAACCAACCAATTCAACGAACACTTCATAATATTGAAACTGATATGAATAGACCCTGTCTCTAAACCCACTAAAAAGTTTGGGGTTGTTTTACATAGCGAATATGTCTTTTTATTGAAATTTATGTTGACTTTTTTTAAGAGCTCTATGTATCAGAGACTCCATACTTGGTCAAAATATAGCAGTGATGTGTTGATTATAGCTTTTTTCAACTTATCTCTCACCTTCCAGGAGTTTGCTTTAGAACAAATGTTTATTATATTGCCTATTGTCGGGTTTGACTTTGAGATTGTCATCTTAACTGCTTGCTAAAACAAACCAGACCTACAAAAGGGAACACCTTAATAATTGTATGTACTGACTGTATCAATCAGTTCTCCATCCAAATATATACTATTATATTTCTTTGGGCGCCCCCTAGCGAAATTCAAAATTTTCGTTTTATCAGTGTTTATAATTAGTTTATTTTCTCTGCAGTATAAATTTAGAGAATTAATTTTTTTTACAAGATTGGTATAGGAATCAGCAAAAATAGCCGTTCCAACCGCAAACAAGAGCAACAGTATGTCAACACATCCATTAATAGATATGCCAGATAGGTTAGGCTTGCGAAAGTATTCCTCAATATGAGATAAGAAAAGATTACACAGTATGGAACTCAGTGTCTCTCCTTGAAGCACACCTTTTGTAATTTTAAACTTTTGCGACAGTCCTCCAGCGGTTCCGTTTATTTGTGTGTACGCGTTATCATACATGTTTCCCATAACTCGAATTATTTTCCCACTCAAACCTATAGAAAAAAGTTTGTGCCAAAGTTGGTTGTGATTTAAGGAGTCAAAAGCCAGACGAAAGCCAATAAAAATAACGAAAAGGTTAGATTTCTCTTTTAAAATTTGGTTTTGGATAACGGCATTTAAGACAAAGAAATTATCTAAGCAGCTTCTGCTATTTCTGAATTCTGATTGGCATTCAGGTATAATTCCGGTTTCTTCTGTCCATGCTGTTATTCGTTCCAACAGGATTTGGGTAAAAATTTTGGAAGGACAGTTTGCCATAGATATATTTCGATAATTAAGTGTGTTTCCTCGGTCTCCTTTCTTAAATATCATTATGCTCAAATTTTCAGCACATAGGCACCTCTTATTGAATAAATTCTGTATATACAATAACCAATTAGTTGGAATATTCTTATATATTTCGTATAAGACACCATCAAACACTGGGCTTTTGCCATTTTTAACTTTGTTTAGAGCCCTACTCATTTCCTCAGAAGATATATCTCCATCTAATAATGGATGTCGACTATCGATAAAAAAATGATTGGATGTCAACCTAGGTGGATACATCATTTTAAAAAACTTCGGTTCGTAAATAGTGCTACCCATAAACGCTTAATGATACCCCAAAAAGTTAAACTATCCTTAGTTGTTCCGAGAATATCAACTGTATTTAAATTATATTTTCTTTTTTCATTTTCACAAAATTTTTATATTGTTTTTCAACTTTAGATAATCAAATAAGAATTCACCCATAAAATTCCTTTTATTACATTTAGAGAAAGAATTCATCCCAGTCTTTAGTGGCTTGCATTCACTATCATACCAAGGTATATTTTTATTAATGCCCTATTTGTTAAATTCAGTTATACTTTTCATTATATTGATTTCTTTAGAAGTTCTGAAAACAGCGGATATAAAATTTTCGTATAGTTCTTCAACAGTACTGCTTTTAAAGTGCACTGTGATTAATGGAGTGATCAGTAAACTACTTTTAAATATTTCCGATATATTTTTATTCCACCTTCTAGACAATATTTGTTTAACTCTAAAATCGCATACTAATTCCAGGCCACCGATTTCACACCAGACAATATCAACGACACTCGATCCATTGGTCCTACAGTAAGTGTAATTACCAGTTAGATCACTGAGAGTTCGGCCATTTAACACTATAAAGGAATTAAGTTCCATAAATTCGGTTAGTATTTCCCCTCTGAAATTTTTGAAGCTATCTGAATTTGTTCGATTTGTCATGAGGCAAGTATCATGAACAATTTCTGGAGAGCATATATTTAAATTACTTATTCTAGAGTTGAAATCCCCTCCTAAATATATCGGAATGTTTTTATGTTCTCCTCTGATCTCATTTATAGTAATTTCTATTTTTTCTAAAAATAAGTTAATATCTAAACCAGGATTAATATTAACAAAGCCTACAATTAATTTTAAGCTATTTTTACAGACTAACAAAAAAATATTGTCTCTATTATTACGTAATGTTCTTACAGAGCATTTATCTTGATCATGAAAAGAAACTAAGCCACCAGAGGCCCTGCCGTGTTTATACCTCCTAACAACTGAGCTGTAAACAATTCCATACGATGGCATCCAACTAGGCTTAGCTCTGATTTCAGTAGTTAAATGGGTTTCAGCGAGACATATTATATGTATGTATGTATGACATGCCCATGTATTCAACGTGTTGTATTAAATGTGTATAGCCATTAATGTTTCAAAATAAAATATTAAAATATGATACCTCTTCTATCCGTTCTGATGATTCATTATCCTGAGCTCTAGTTTTGATCTGAATATTTTCTTTCCCTAAATCGAAATTGATCGAGTTTTTTGCTCAGTTTTTCTCTTTTGGTTACCTGGACTGGCGTTGATGCTGGTGATCGTTTACTGTCTTCGAGTGTTTCCAGTAGACTTCCGATCTCAGAGATGTGAAAAGTGTTCCCTTTCATTGTGATGCTATGTATTGTAAAGACCGCCGGTGGAATAATTAGTTAAATAAACATCCTAAGTGTTCACATCTGGCTGTACCTGACCGAAGGTAACGACCCACAAGCCCAACCTTTTGTAAGTGGTAATAAAAACCTTTAAGGACCACCGACAACTAAGTGTTTAAACAGGATCCCGAAAGACCTTTTCACACCTTCCACCAGGAATACCTAAGTCTGTACCTGCTGCTTTACCTTGGCCTGGGGGAGAGGGCGTGGTCATCCCTTAGGCTGAGAATATTCAGCCAATCAGGAAAAAGACTGCCAAAAGAGAGGGGGATGAAAAAAGGTGGGAGATAGAGAATTTGGACGGAGGACTTCTTTTTGGAACTCGGAAGAGGGAGGACTTGCTCTTGGGACTCGGAGAGAGCAGAGACAGGGAATCCAGATATGACGGCTAGAAACACCTAGAAACACTATGAACGACCAGCTAAGTGGTAACAAACATTTAGTTATACTAATGTAAATTTGTGTTGGCAACCATCAATCATTAATTAATAAAATCAATAGAACATAAGTAACTCTAATCAAGCATTCTCCTCTAGTATGATTCTCAAATATTCATTATGTATATAGGTTTAGTTATTATTTTGTATATAGGTGTTTTTGGTTTTATTTAAATTTGTAAATATATTAGTTAGCAAACCAACGTAGTACTTTTACCATCTACCTTGCATGCCACCAATTAGTAATAGAAACAAATAGTAAATTTATAAACATGATACCTTTAGAAAGGAAATCCAATAAAGAGTAAATGGTTCAATCTAGGATACTACAGTAGGGGGTCTGTGGTATCTAATATTTAAATACATCATTAATATATTTTAAGTTGATCGGTTCCCTTCTGGGACCGATATAAATACATTTTAATACGAATAAATGCGATTCCTGGAACCCCTTACTCGCCGTAGAAACGCGAGGCCAGGAACATATCAGTGAATAACTTGTTTTTATTAGTTATAGTACTGTCGAAGGTTCACAATCTGTTAGGATATTGTAATAATGGTCGTCTTAACGTCCATATACGCGAGCTTAAATAGACAACTATGTGAAAACCTCACGTATCCACTTTATCAACCTAACATATGTTTTATTAATAAATAATCAAAATCAAAACATTTATTATTGATGTATACAATTTAGACAAACAGACTATAAAAAGCCCAATGAAATTTCTAAATAAACAATAGACTATAGATAATTAATAAAACTTAATCTAAGGAGTAATCTAAACTTAACTATTTATAATTAAACAACAAGAACTTACGAACTAACCTAAAGCTGATATAAAATTTACTAACTAATATAAATTTGAATAAAGTACAAAAATACCAAAGACTTCATCCATATAAGTCCGCTTCTCCCAGAAGTTACAGAGATAGAGAGAGGGAGAAGAGAGAGAATTAACGTTTCCTCCAACGCACGTAGGTCTCTGTACCTTTTCCAATCACTGTTCCCGTCAATCTCCAAAAAACATCTCTCTCTCTCTCTCTCTCTCTCTCTCTCTCTCTCTCTCTCTCTCTCTCTCTCTCTCTTTACACTGCCTTAATGCGCATTCACTGCCACATAAATTAATTCTTTTGTTTTATGCACTACATTCATACTCCCCCTTTTTGAAAAGTGGAGTTACATGAAACTTCACTTCCGTTCAATTCCAGCATGAGCCACCCAAATCCTCCGAACGGTGGGTGGTAAAACGTCTCATCTAATCAGCACATTCACTAGACATCAACTTCTTTCAGGCGTTGCTACCTTCTGTTCACTCTCTTTGTCCCTCCATACTCTCTGTTAACACTACATTCGTTTACTTTCAAAATATGGCAGAGAGGTTTTGATCAATCACAAAGAATTTCATCCCTGAAACTAAAACTAAAATTTATACAAGTTTTGGTGGATATGTGAGGCACAGTTATTTTAAAAAATATTATTTTAATTATGTGTTTTACGAAACAGTTTGTCATATTTGGCTCCTTACCCTACTTCGCAACTGATAAGGTGACCGAACTTCTGGCCTGCCTTCCTCTTCAGAATCTGGATACCAGTTCGGGTCTTCATCAATGTCGTCGACCTGGTGTTCATCTTCACTTTCAGACGACTCCCCTGCGGATTCTATATTTTCATTAGATATCTGTTTGTACTCTTGGTTGTCCATTCCGCTACTTGTAGGTTGGAAATCCAGTTCACGCTCTGAAAATACGAGCCTCTGCGTATCTGGCATATGATGTGCAGTTGGCATTGCCTCATTCTCTTTCTCCGAAGCCCTTTTAAGCCTATTTATGTGTACTGTATACTTTTTCCCGTTCTGCAACTTTAGAGTGTATGTCCACGGTGACTGTCTTTTAATAACTTTGTGCGCTCCTTACCACGGATGTCTAAATTTCTTCGACTGCTCTGGATGTGAAACTGGTTCAAATAAATAAACCAGTTCTCCCTACTGATATTCATGCATAGTCTTTCCAAAGTCATGGTTTCGAGTACGAATTTTCCAAGCCTCCCTCACCAATTCGTTCGCCTTTTTATAAATGCCGGTAAGTCAATTTTTTAGTGCCGAAACGAATTCCTTAATTGATCCTGGGAACTTATGTTGAGAAAAATCATATGGAAATGAAAGTTCAAATTTACGACCATATATTAGATGGTGCGGAGAGTGCCCTGTTGAAGTATGAGGTGTCGCCTTGTAAGCCCTATCGGTCCAATCGGCAGCATCCTTACGCACTAAGTGTGCCAGAGAGTCCCACAGCGTCCGATGGAATCGTTCAACTAATCCGTTTCCTGCCGGATGGTAGGCCGTAGTCTGAACTTTCTCTATTCATAGTAATCTGCATGTTTCCTTAAACAAGTCTGATGTGAAATTCCTACCCCTATCTGTTAAAACTTTCTTCGGGGCCCCATGTCTCAAAACAATATATTTAACGAATGCTTCCGCCACTCCATGTGCCGTTTGTTGTTTTAAGGGTACCGCTTCTGCATATCTTGTTATCTAAAAAATTATCTACAAATGTTAGAAGATACTGGTTTCCCTTTGTGCTTAGGGCAAATGGGCCAGCTAATCATCTTGGGCTTTTCTCGTATCGGCTCGTAAAGAACGGCAATTGCGAACGTACGTTGTAACATCGTCCCGCAAGCCTGGCCAGTAAAACCTCTCAAGGATTCGCGCTGCCGTGCGAGTTTGACCTGGATGACATGCCCACAAGGAATCATGATTTTCTTTAATGATAAAATTCCGCAAAGATACGGGGACCATTATTACGCCTCTGGATCAGACTGATCGTCCATCCAATACCATATACCTTTGTCACTTATACGTACTTTCTCTGGTTATTTTGCTATAATATCGTGACACCAGCGATCCTCTTATTGTTCTCTCAGTAAAGATATATGATCGAGAAACCTATAATCTACTGCTGCAACTCCTCTGCTGAGACCATCAGCGTTTTGATGACGTACTCCAGGCCTATGAACCACGTCATAGTTGTACTCCATCAACCGGAGGCTCCATCGTGCTAATCGAGCAGAAGGATCTTTTAAATGTAGCATCCATTTGAGAGCAGCACGGTCATTTACTAATGTAAACTTCCTTTCTAATAAGTAACATCTAAATTAAGCAGTAGCCCATACAACTGCCAGTAACTTCCTTTCAGTGGCGGAGTAGTTTCGCTCGGCATTATTAAGTTGACGGCTACCGTATGCCACTGGTCTTTCATGTCCCTCTCTCATCTGAGAAAGGACAGCCCCTAAGGCTACACCCGAAGCGTCTGTCGATAATATAAATGGATCGTTAAAATCTGGATAAATTAAAACTGAGTGTGAACACAAAGCTGTTTTGATCGCTTCAAAAGAAGTTTGTTGAGCGTCTCCCCAGTGGAATTTCTCATCCTTTCTTAAAATTGTTGTTAGGGGTTTCGCCATATTAGAAAATCCCGGAACAAAGCGTCTATAATATCCAGCAAGTCCTAAAAAAGCTTTGACGTCCTTGACACTATTCGGGACTGGATAACCTACCACTGCGTCCACCTTCTTCGGATCGGGCCTAACACCTTCGCTGGAAACTATATGCCCCAAGTAATGAACTTCTCCCTGGGCAAAGTGACATTTATCCATATTCACTCGTCAATTAGCTTCGTCTAGTCGCACCAAAACCTTACCTAATCGCTGACAGTGCTCCTCTATGGTAGCGATGTATACAACAATATCATCAAAATATACTAAGCATTCGTCTCCTTTTATTTCTGCTAGTAGCTGGTCCATTAATCGTTGAAAAGTTGCTGATGCATTAACTAGACCAAAAGGCATCTTTTTGTATTCAAAATGCCCCATTCGGTGGTAAATGCAGTATTTTCCTGATCTTCCGGCCAAATTGGAATCTGATGATAGCCACCTACTAAATCCAATGTAGTGAAGAATCGGCTTCGTCCCATGCGCTCTAGCGTTTCAACAATCAATGGAAGGGGGTACGCATCTGTTTTTGTAATTTTGTTCAGACCGCGAAAGTCGGTACAGAACCTATACCTAGGGGCAGACTATCTATCTCCTTTCTTTTTTACAAGTACTACTGGAACTGACCATGGGCTTTCAGAAGGTCGTACGATATCTTTCTCTAACATATCTTGAATGTGGTCTGCCACTACGGGTCGCTAGGGATAAGGAACGTCGTAGAGTCGTTTTATTACTGGTCCTTCTTCCGTCGTTCGGATTCGGTGATATACCCCTAATCGGCGGCCTTCCTTTGTAGGAAGTTCGAACACTCGTAAATACTTTTTCAAGACGTCTAAATTTTTTCTCCTTCAGTTTAAGTCAAATGCACTAGTCAATTTCGACATTCTTTGATGAGATCTTTTGTCCCTTTTGCGTTCACACCTAAAGTCTGCACCAAATCCATTAAATTTTTCTGGACATTTGGTTCTAAAACCGCCGTCGGAGCGAAACTCTTCGGCCAGACCTAAGCATTGCCCCTTGGGTATCACCACCTCCTCCTTAGACAAATTGATTAATTTCACGCAGACTCTTTTACGATCAACGTTGTTAATACTACTCGCAACTCTGACACCATATTGCGGCTGTACGACTGGCTCCAGTAAGATATCACCGTTTCATGGTTCTAACGTTAAAGAGAGAACTAACATTTCCTCCAACGCATGCAGTTCTCTTCACCTTTTCCAATCACTGTTCCCTTCAATCTCCTAAAAACACATGAATCTCTCTCTCTCTCTCTTTACACTGCCTTAATGCGCATTCAATGCCACATAAATTAATTCTTTTGTTTTGTGCACTACAATATAAATATATTTGTTTTCCCTCCTCTCTTTCCTCGGGTGATTTGTCATGTGCTATCGGAATCTTTTTTTCTCTAAATAAATATCTATTTAATTATTGTTTGCTTCATTATATAACTGTTAAGATAAATTAGGATAGACCTGGGTTTGTTATATCCATTTTTTTCTAATCTGTAGCAGTTGCTTATCAATCCATCTGATAGCATTACGCCCATACCAGATAATATTGTATTTACTTCATCCACTACATTTCCATTGTCCAGGTCTTCATGGAGTTTTCAGGTTTACTCTGAGTTCAATTTTATCGTAGAGGATTTGGTGAAAGAGTTTTCAGTTAACTGGACCTTTGATGAAGGACGGTGGAGATGGTTTAGGAATAGGAGCTTGGAGTATTAGTGGACTGTGGTCTGAGGAAAGGTCGTCGAGACGAGTAAGGGTATGGTTGAGGGCATCTAAACCACTGTGGATAAAGAAATGGATATCGGGATTACGGTTAGGATCAGTAGGACCCGTAGGTAGGTGAGTTGGGTGGAAGAAGGTAAAATTTTGGCAATTGATTGCAGACAGCAATGGTCACGAGAATTCGTGGTTCTTAAACCCCATTTTTGATGCTTGGCTTTTAAGTCTGCACCCAACATGAAATGATATCCTAAGGAATTGAGGAAGGAACTAAATTTTGTATGGATTGATTTGGAGGGCAATACGCTGTTGCAACGGTAATAGGAAAGGAGAAAGTTTTTATTACAACTACGGTGGATTGTAGGAAATCGTGAGTAGGCAATGGGAGTAGATGATGAGAGAAGGATTGGTGCACAATGACTGCATTACCGGCATGTGCTCTACCGTCAGGATGGTCAGTACAGTATGTTAAGTAGTGTGCTATTTTTAGGAGCTATTTTCGTTATTACTTCCGTAGTTTTTAAAAATTATTTTATATATAGTGTATATTTTATGTATGTATATGGATACATTTATATATTTTTTCTTTTATATTTTTACCGACGCAGCTGCAATTTGTATGTAAATGCAATGCTCAGTATATTATAACTTAATGTTAGTATGTTCTCTTATATGATTCTTGGATTCCAATATCCAAAATAAAACGTTACGATGGTGAAGGTAGCACCAAAATAAATTAGAAATTGAGAAAGTTGCTGAAATTTTGTTATGTTGGGAAATGTATGAAATATGTATTTACTACCAAACAAATAAATTAATTTTTTTGGTCAGTCGAGTTTCCATTATTAGGGCTACATCTATTTTCATGTCTAGTAGTAAGGCTGGTAGTTCGTCTATGTGATTTTTAACACTATTCGCATTCCAAAGTATAATGGATATGGTTTTGATAGGAGTCATTTAAGGATTTTTTCAAGGATGGATAAGGTGAGATACTAGGTTTTGAAGGAGTGATATCAGAGGGGTAATAAGGGATTTAAATTCTGAATTGAATAATGTCAATAAACTAGTAAGATCTGTAGCATTAAGCGATGGAGGAATATGTTGGATTTGATATTGAAATGAAAATGAAATGAAAAAATAATTTTATTCTGGGACTACTGTCCTCTAAGAATAATAACAGAGTTACAAATTTATGGATCTTAGTCTGAAATAATAGAAATACAAACTAATTTACTGTTAATTGTGCAATGGATTGAAATTAAACATTGTACAGATGCAAGTAATTTTACATGTTGGGGCAAGTTTGAATGTGGAGTAGGTGTTGGAACAGGAGTTGTTTGAAGGAATTTGTGGACGAGGATTGACGCATAGAGGTAGGAAGTGAGTTCCATAAGGAATCAGCACCAATGACGAAGGATTTGCTGAAGGAGGAAGTTTTATGGGAGGGAATATATAAGTCTATAGGTTGAGAACTAGTATT